AATCAAGTTTCTACAGTATAGGGATATTAGTATATGCATTGAAACATGTCAAGGGTCAGAACGGCTTTTTCGGTCATATTTTAGTGAAACATTTAACAACACATTAACGAGGGAGAAAAAGACAAAAAGAAAGACACATTTTAAATGATAATAATAATAATGATAATAGAGCATTTCAAGATATAGATGAAAAATTATTATAAAAATACATACATAATTGGATTATAAGGGAAAAAAATTAAAGTAAGTAAAGTATAATTGTATGACGGATAATCACCTAATTGTTGCATGGATAAATCCTTCGTTTGGAATTTCGCCTATCGTCAGTACATTCTTATACATAATATCTATCTCTTCTATCTATATATTAATTCTGCTAAATCGCCACCGCGTAACTTTACTTATCTCCTCTGAAACCGCTGGCAGGAATGTGCTCATATCTCATACACTGGGGCTTCTATACGTCAGGACCACATTCCGCTACTTTTCAAGGCTGGATATTGGATAACAACGAAAAAACAGCCAAAAAAAACACACCAAAAATCAGTACCTGTTTCGCCATGTTTTCCAAATTTCTTACGTCACATAAACACTACAGTATATCCTCTGTTTTGTACCGCACAGCTCGCGTCAACAAAATATCGCTCCATAAACATTATTGATCCTTAAGGATTGGACTAGTTATTTTCTGATTTTCCCTTATGCTTGTTTAATTTGTATCTGAAAGGGGCTAGCGGCTGATGGACTCCCCATCTGCCTTAAATGTATTCAAATATTTTTCTGTGATTGCAATTTTATGTAAGGCATTTGAAAATTAATAAAGAAATAAAGGATTTGCTGGACATTGCTACAGAAGTAAAAATGAATTTATTTCAAGGGTTTCCCTATTGGGAACCAATACATGGGAAAAGGAAGCAATGACGGCCCCGACTACATACATTTATCATTTATCAATTAGAAAAGGATCTAAACACACAGTGGCAGTACATTCCACAGCTTATGGAAAACAGGGATTTGTGGAAAACAGTCAAATAAAAAGTTATAACTTTGCTCATCATTTACCTGGTGTACTCGATAAAGAGAGAACATGGAAGATAATGCTGCAGTGTCATATCCAGGGGTGCTGAGGGTGCCTGAGCACCACATCCCCCTTTCAAGGGTTGAAAAGAAATATAAAGTGCCCCTTTTTAAATGTTAAATTTAACCGACATACATTTTAAGTATTAAAGTGCCATTACCTGGATTTATAAGTCCCTAATTGTTAACATGTTCTCACCTCAGCCTCAACCATGATGGATGGATATAGTAATTTTCTTAGTTTGCATGTATTAAAATGCTATTTTCTCTTATTTAAAAGTCCCCAATTCATAAAACACTCTACACCAGATAATTCAAAACGGGTCAACTGATCTGATTGAAACTTTCGGAAAAGTTTAACTAAGTTACAAAAAAGAATTTATTATGTGTTGGAGACAATCTAGTTTATAGTGTAAATTTGAGTGTTATATAAATTTTTGAGGTCCCATACCTAAATATCTTTATATAAAAAATCAATGGGTCTAAATGAAACTTTCTATAATAGTTTGTAAAGGTCTAGTAAATAAATGATTACATGTTTATGACGATCCGGAGTTGGGTGTCGATATATGGATCATTCAAAGGAAAGGATATTTAAAAAACGGATCAATTGATGACCTGATTGAAACTTTCGGGAAAATTTAATCAACTTACAAGGAAGAAATTATTATGTGTTGGTGATGATCCAGTTTAGGGTGTAAATTTAAGGTCATTTAAATTTCTGAGGTCCAGACCTAAATATTTCAAAATACTTATCAGTGGACCTAAATCAAACTTTCTATAATAGTTTGTCATAGTCCAATAAAACAAAATGATTAAATTCAAAGAAAAACGTCCCAGACCAGAGATATCACAAACGGATCAACTCATTTGAATTAAACTTTTGGGAAAGTTTAACCAAGTTACAAGGGAGAAATGTTTAGGTGTTGGTGACAATCCAAATTCGGGTGTGAAATTGAGGATTATTTAAAATGCTTACTTCTAAGTTATAAATGAATCAAAATGAAACTTTGCAGAATAGTTTTTCATGGTCCAACTTTCGGTGACGATCCGGAGTAGGGTGTGGATATGAAGACCATTTAAAGATTTTTTTGGACAGTTAATTAACGCAATTTGCGTTTTTTAAAGAGTTTAAACCAACTGCAGCAACGAAAAATGTTCTGGCCTCATGCTATGAATCTCATTGTACGCTCTTACCATTGCAGCAGTTGTTCAAGTTTCACTAACGTCGCAGTAGTTTTTTTTTACTTCGTAATTTTTTTAGTACTATAAATATTTTAGTTTTCCGTGTTTTTTTTACGTCATGTATTTTAACAATTTTTTGTTGCAATTTCAAATTAATTTCTCATTATAGCAATGAGGAAAAGCCCTATGTTCTGTTGTACAAACAGACATAGTAAGTCTAGTTATTATTATTCTTGTCGTCGTCGTCGTTGTTTGTTATTGTTGCTGTGTTGCTGTTAATGTTGTAGCTGTTGCTAGTTATTATTTATATTATCATTACTAATACTATTACTGTTACTGATGCACACGACATTGATGGCGTCACTCTTGTACTTAGTAGGCATAATTGTAATGTCGATTATGCTATCTTTTTGAATGTGGCTTTTTGAATGTTGTCATGTTTCGTTTTCACTATTTTAATGAAAGAATCAATAAAGAGAGATTACCTGCCAAGTAAAGGAAGCATATAGCTAATAAAAGCTGACAGTTACACTCTCCACACTCTCCATATCCTACGTGCAATATTTGACTACTGAAACATCTTTGGTAAAGATGTCAATAAGCTAGGTGTAAATAGATTTTTTCCATCAACCGTGCGTTTAAAAAATACTAAAGGTCTCATTATGAAGGTATGTATTTTAGTCGGTCACCGAGTACTGCTAATAACTATTTTGAGTTGTGAAATCATATTTCTGCTTTTATTAACAAGTGGGTGGGGGGCGTGCCGCTTGGGGCTTCTTGAATCCGCCACTAATGTAGACATAGTTTAAGAAATTAAAATATAAATCGAAATTTTTATTTTACAGGCTAATGCTATAGCACATGCAAGAAAATCTCTTTTGGAAGTGATACGTAATTTTGAAAAAGAAATTGATGAGGTAAAAATAAAACTAATAAAATTTTATTACAAATATGCATTTTCACTCAGAAACATACACATAGCTAGGCCTATAATTTACATAGTATATTATGTACATACATGTATTATAAGTATTATCACTTGCAAATGCTGAAGGCTTTAAATATTTGTTTATCAATTTTATTTTAATCGAGTTTCAGCCATTGTTTTTCACATTATTTTGTAAGTTATTTCTATTATATTTTTAATTATACATATTTATTTATTATAGGCCTATATATTATATATTCCTCGAATATGTTTTAGGTTCCTTTGAAATTTTGTTTGTAACAAATTGATAAGTTGTGTTATTATAATATTGGTTTGCTTGGTTATTTGTTGCCTATTATTGCATTGACTGAAAATTGACTAACTGAAAAAAGCAATATCAATCTTAAACTTGAGAGGAAAGGGGTTAGTCACCTTTCATGTTGGCAAAAATTTAAATGCTTAATTTGTATATGTATGATTTATCAATGTGTCGTGATAAATGAAATATAGTATAACTGCAAGCTAAAATTAAAGGTTTAGGCCTATAATAATATTTAAATGAGGTTTCTACGTTGCAATTACCATAATGATAATAAACAATCAGATCAGAAAATCTGCTACTATTATATGCTTTCACAATGTTAGAAATTATTTTTTCCTTTTACTGACAGTTGTGTAAAATCTACCAAGAAAACATTGATGACATTTTTGAGGAAAAGAAAAAGCAAGCAGTGGAGGACTTCAAGCAAAAATGTGGCTTCAATCGCACTGTGAAGTATGAAGAATTAGAAAAAACATTAATAGAAGATATCAAAAGTAAAATGATGAAATACATTGCGGCAAACAATTTGATGGAAGTGAGTTTCTTGTTCAGCCAATGGACTTTATCTATTAATATTAGGGAGGCCTACTGTAGCCAGTTCATATCATAGCAAAACAAACACCTACAGAGTACAAACAATAACATATTTTTATACTTTTGTTTGATGTACCATTCTATTCATTCCATAATTCAAAAAAATAAACAACATACTTTCTATTTATATAATATATATTGTATATATTTTTATTTTATATATATTTGTTAATTTTTACTTATTATACATATTACAGGCCCGTACCCTAGGTTGTAAATGGGGTTTTTTTTCAGGGAAACGGACCAAACCTGGCTGGGAAGGGGGTCGCCTAGGGCCACCGCCGTGGTCCAGGACATCTGGGCATTATTAACGCTATTTAAATGAGGCTGTGTTTAGGTATATTTTAAATTTTTAATTAACGTAACAAACTGTCTAGTACGACTATGCTTGCGAACATAACAGTCAAAGGCAGTTTCAAGTTCCACTTCCGTATCGTAATCAATGTGGAGGAGTGCGTTTAGAAAGCTAAAAATTTAGTTTAAAAAAAAGTAAACGGCGGGTTGATACTACACTGTGCTGGGGTGGATGCAGGATTTAGCGGTTAAAGTCAACGTGAGTCAACACCACCTCAGCCCCACCATGGTTGGGACTGAGGTGAAAAAATATGGACCTCAAGGTGCCTGGAATTTGCACCCACATACTTTTAAAATCTTACCGGTACTATTTTCATAATGAAAAATATAATACGTCAACAATACAATACAACACAACAATTATTTTCCTTAATACAATTTAGGTAGACGAGTGCGATCGTACCGTCTACTGCATCCCCCCAACTGTGTATACATGATATGATTGAAATTAAACATTCCCAATCTAGGTGGACCATTAACGCTGGGTGTAGGGGTTCTTGCTTGGGTTTGGCATTGATCATGACTGCCTATGGGTTGTGAGGTTCCTGAGTATGTGAGGTGCAGTGCTTCGTATGTGTAAGGAAATGCGCATTATAAATGACTAAATTGGATTGGCTTAGAAAGTAGAGTTGCTTTTTTTAAAATCCTGGATTCGAACTAGCAACCCTTAAATTATAATGCAAGTATCTTATCCACCAAACTTGCGAATTAATACAAATATATAAACTAAAAGAAAATTATAATAATACAGCAGTTCAGATGTGATTATCCACATGTCTATTTAATCACAAATTATTTCACAGGTAGACAATAAATACCTCATATTTTCACTGAATACAGGCAACCGCAAGAACTGAAAATCAAAAACAATTTGAAGAAGCACTGACAACGTTTGATACTAGAATGAATGAGGTCAGTTGGTTTTCATTTATTTATATAAGATTAGTTATTGTCATTTATCTTTATTTATTTGTAAAAATTATTTTACGTTTGAATGGTTTCTTCATCCTGAGAAATACGCCTCCATTTATAACTTAATATTCGTTTTTTAACAAGGATATCAAGGCTATTTTTACTAGTTTTTGGAATGTACCTTACAATTTGCTGTACTTTTATTTAGTTTCAGTATACACATAAACAAGAAATATTTTCTTATGAAAATTTGATTTGTATTTCCAAACTTAAAAAAATGTATTATTGAGGATGCACTCAGTGCAAAATATGAGAAATGTGGAAAGTATAAAATACAGAAATCAGAGTAATATAATTGGTGTAGGTCTACCGTATACAGTTTGTTTTAAGCTTGAGTTCTTACTATTATTGTTGTTATTATTATATTAAAATAATTATTATTATTATTATAATTATTTTATTTGTATTACATTTTTAAATATAAATTATTATTGTTTTTATTCTTCTGGCTAGGGTTGGACGAATCATAAACTTATAGATAAATAACTCCATCATGGTCGATTTTATGCTTTAGCTGTAGACTGGCTAGGCCCTACTGCCAGTTTCTGTGTGGCTATTTTTTCGGATTGTCAATGCATACGTACGACGATAGAGCCAAAACAATCTGTTTTATTTCAGCAGGGAGTCTGCGATAATTTACTTACAACTCCCTGAAGATAAATGATAATACTGTACGTTGATAGCCAAAATATTGGAGCTTTCGCTTGCAAGATGACGATAGGCTGTAGAACGTAATGACTTCACTAAAAGTCATCTGCGCATGAGAAAATTTCACTTTTAGGTCGTAGGCCGCGGTCACAAATTCGCGATCGGCGTTGACATATGTATATAGAAGATAAACAAACCCACGACAAATTAGTTAAAAATATAATAAATCAAAAACATCAATGGTGTTCCTCCAACTGTGGTAAGGTACGAAGTTATAAATTACTTATTACGACCGTAATCAATTACAGGATTTATCGAAAAATGTCAGGTCATATAAGCCAATCAGAGCAGAACAATATTACATTACTTAAATATGAGCCAATTAAAATATGCGACCTTTCACGAAATTATACGGAAAATAATGAGTAAACAACCACCGTGGAAGAAAACTGATGCGAAGAGAGTTTCTTCACTTCAACATTTTATTTTTGTTATTTGTCGTGCTGAAATAGAAGTCTATTGTTATATTCGTGGGTGTTGAGTTATCGTGTCTTTAGATGTTATCCGTCAATCGCCACCGGGCTTCAAAAGTGTCTAGTGATATTGGTCGGGATTGGCATCTAGTGTACAGTTTTTTATTAGAAATTTTGTGAGGATATTTTATTTTTATCAATTGTCGAAGGTGTTTCTTGTGAAATATGTTTTTAGTCCACATGTGCTGCTGTTGTAGAGCTGTCTCTTATACACATCTAGATGTGTATAAGAGACAGGAGGTGCAGTGCTTCGTATGTGTAAGGAAATGCGCATTATAAATGACCAAATTGGATTGGCTTAGAAAGTAGAGTTGCTTTTTTTAAATCCTGGATTCGAACTAGCAACCGGAATGAACGAATTCAAATACCGGTTAGTTCTACATTGAGTGCTGCGTAGACGCTTGCCAAATTTTAACCAATTATACTCATGGTATAGAGGGTGATTGTTATTGGTCATAATATTAGAAGCATAATCAGCATTAGCGTCCGGTGGTATATACACTAAAGTAAAATAGATCTCGTTGTACTTCCGCGGAAGATAAAATGGACGAAGTGCGAGACACCTCAGTTCAATATTCTTATCACAAAATGTAGATAAGACTTTGGTGTTGCTACACCAACGATTGTTCACATAAAAACATTATCCACCACCTTTCGATTTCCTTGTGACGTCCTTAGATCGATCAAGGCGAAGTAAGTCGAAACCATTAATGTTTACAGAATTGTTATTCATATCAGGAGTAAGACATACTCCTTTTGTTTTGTTTCAGTAAGACATAACATACTGGCATCACGAAATTCAGATAGATATTTAGCACAGCCACGAATCTCATCAATCTTGTTTGATACTGACCTTACATTACTGAGCGTGATGACTGGTAGTGGCAGTCGATTTTGATTTCTTCTGAGACGATGTTTTATACCTCCACATCGACCTCGCCTCCTGGGAGAGGCACTTCCTTCCTACTGGGAACCCAATCTGGGATGTTAAGGCCGAGTAGCTTTTCGTCCTGAGACCCATGTACGTGGGACGCTGACCGGACACCAAGCGCATCACGAAACAAAGCATCACCGTCGTAGCTAAATCGATTAGCAGATTTCGTGACAATAAAAATTGCCAACCAGTAGTTTAAAAATACATCCATATTACAGGAACAACAGATCAAACATACTTGAAAATAAAATACGATGAAAATTCACTAACAATAACTTACAAAACTTTACTATTCAAGGAAAGGAAATCCACGTCATTTGCACAGGCAATCTTTTTAGGGATTCTTGATACGATTCCATCCCTGGGTCCCCGAAATCAGGGGACTCAGGGACATAATGTGGTGAGAAAATTGAATTGATTTCTGAGTGATTTGGACGTACCATCGTATCTGTAATGACGTACTAAGTAGGTCTGCCTCTCTCACTACTACCACTACTGTCTGTGCCTTGGCCAAGTCTAGGCGCCAGGTGGCATTCTCTTTTTAGCCTAGATAGGTTAGGCCCAATACTAGGAGGAACGATTGGAAGGAAAAGGATGCCGATGGCGTAGCTTTTTACATCTAGCCAATTCAAAAAGGTACATTAAACCCGGCGAGAAAGCTTGACCTTCAACGAATTGGTGTGTGATTACGGGGCCTTTTCAAATCGAAAACTCCCTAATTTGTTTGCTGGCCACGTTTGATAGTTGCACATGCACAATGATTTCATGAGACCCATGATCGATAACGTCATTTAAAAGTGCGCATGCTCACTGTTTTTCCAGCATTCCCAGCGCATGTTTTACGTGGACTTTTTGGAGACGTTCTTTGGTAACTGCGCCTGTACAGTAATTAGTTTGGAATTGTCATTTTTTTCATAGTATGCTACCGCTACCTATAGTTTCCTAATGGCTGCTTCTTCTTGCTTGTTGCAGCCTAAAGGTGCGGCGCGAAAATTTCTGTCAAACAATTCGCAGTATAACGTTAATAAACGTAAGCGTATTTGTTGGCGTGCATTCCTGGTTCCACTGAATAATACGTTCTGATTGTTGACGTTTTAAGTTTGATTGACACATTGACAAGAAAAGTCCATTGTCTCAATAGTTATAGAATAAAACCATTTTTTTTTTTAGAAATGCTTGACATACACGGAAACAAGTGCATTAAAGAGTGGATTCGAGGAACAAAAGAGCATAGCTATAGAAACATTCGAGAAGAAAGGGAAGCAAGTTGGCCCATCTTATTCAAGACGCATCGAACAATTGGAAGATGATATTCCCGAGAAATACTCGGTTTTTGAATCTAAAATTAGTGATTTCAAGGTGAGCGAACACACATAATTTTTAAAATGTAAAAAAGATAAAGGTAGAAAATAATATGTGGCTTCCAACTCATTCAGCAAGTTTCTTCTACCCTAAGGGCCACATCATATCCAATCAGCTGCCTAGTGAAGCACATTTGTTTGCCCACAATGACAGGGACTGAATGTTACAATACACCGGGATAACCCTACTTTTTTTTTCGAATGATGTACTAGGTTCTTTAAGTACACAGGAGCAAATTTGTGTACACCTGGCCTACGGTTTGGAGTCCTTATCCATCCCAACCAGCGCCGATATTATAGCTGCTGATTGTGGTGCCGCTGCCTTTCGGTCATTCGACTCGCTTTGATGATGACGACACTTATGATGATGATGATGAGGAAGAGGAGGAGGATGATAATGATGATGGTGAATAATTGACATTTGTAGCACCACTGCATCCGAAGATGCTATTAAAATGTTTTCATTGAAGATTTCATTTGAAAGTGGTGCAAATTTGAGATAATCCGGTAGTTTGTTCTACAGCATTTTCCAAAGGATTTTGTATGTCCTTGCTTCAGCAGATTTTTTTTTTTTTTAGAGCGCATGAAGTCCCGGTATGATTAGGCAAATTTATTATATTTATTATTTTTTAATGGTTTGTTTTGCCCTTTGTTTAAGTTTGTAGTTAATTGTTCGGGTTGTGTTTAGAACTACTCTGAGCTAGTTTCCTAGGACACTTCCATTTTATATAATAATGTGTTCAACATAATATCGTGTTGCAAGAATTTGTACGTCATACCGTACTTATAGCACTAGCGCATATAGTTTATGATCTACGACGAGGAAGGACCCAGTCAAGGACTTTTAAAGA